TTTTTTTTGAGCCGAGGATCTCTTGGAAACAGCCTCTCTACCCTTCGGGGTAGGGGTAAAGTCTGTGTACATATTACCCTCCCCAAACCCCACTTGTGGGATTATACTGGGTCGTTGTTGTTTGTTATTTGTTTATAGACTTTGACTCGAGTTTTCCAAAATATGGGTACTGCGATAATTGTTTTCTAGTGTTCTTTAAAAGAAAATAGGTAAAAGAGAGTCTTCCGCTTTATTTATTAAAATTATTACGCACTTATTATAAACGAAACTTCAACAATTTTGCGGTCAAACTTTTTATTTTAATAAATAAATACTACTGTTTTATTAAACAATTTCATAATACGTTTTTTGGATCTAATCCTTTGATTTGTGATTTATTATTGAAAGAATTACAAGAAAATATACACGACTTCACAGTAAAAATAGCACGGTATAGCCAGTTTTCGGACTGGTCATTCAAAAATAGCCAACGTTTACCAAGTCAAAGAAAAATAGCCACTATTTTGCTGCAACAGAGATCGGTCCAGCATAATATACTGGAGTTCGGTGCACCTGTGTATGAACTCCAGCATATTATGCTGGACCGGTATACTTTGTTGGCTCCAGTATATTATGTTGGACCGGTATGCTTGCTGGAACTCCAGTATATTATGCTAGAGTTCTAGTGTACTTATGCTGGAACTCCATCATATTATGTTGGAGTTCCAGCATACTTATCCTGGAAGTCCAGTATAATATGCTGGAACTCCAGCATAATATACTGGCGTATTTTTCGGGTTTTGAATAGTTTTTTCGCTCAGATTTATCTTTATAGATAAATGACCAAATTTCGATTACTTTTGAAACTGTGCTATTTTTGAACGGCCAGTTGTAAATCTAGCTATTTTTGAATTTCTCTCGACTTCACACCATAACAAAAAATGACCCATATTTTTAAGTTTTACCCGACCTAGCCCATATTGTATATATTTTGAAAATACTAGCTCTTGCAAATTTAAAATTTGTGTTCTTGCAACCATTGCTTCTAAAAGCTATGAAGTTAAATTTGTGTTCTCACAACCATTGCTTTCACTCTCTCTCTTTTTCTCACATCTTTTGCTCATGCTTCAAGGGGCCGCCCGCCATTACTGTTTCTCCCTGTATGTCACCTGGTTGTAATGTAAAAAAAATTGAAGAGTAGAAGTCCAACATTGAAGGTCATTCAAAGCTTTACTTTAGAAAATAAATTTTTTTGAGTTTGTTAGTTGTTTGGATTGGGTGTTGTTCCAATTGATTAAAAATATCAAAAAGAGTTCAAAGTTTAAATTTGAAGTGATTTGGAGTAGATTTGAGCAAGATTTGAGTTAAATTTCAGAAAAGACGCAAGGAAGATGACGAAGTCAGTTTTTTGTATAATCTTGTATAATAGTGTATATGAGTATATAAATACGTCTTATACACTATTATACACTTTTATACACCTTTATACAAACGTCTGTAGACGAATTCTTCTACGATTTTCAGTTGCAATTCTTGTTCAAAACCAGTCCAAATCTCCATTAAATGACTTCAAATTTTATATACAACCTCCTTATACTATTTCTAACAAGTCTAAATAACACTCACTCCAAATTTCTCGCAAAATCAAATTCGAAATTTAAACCCACATATTTAAGTTTGTTAAAAATCTAATTTTTACCACCAAAATGGATTTAGTTTATTGTACTAATATTTGAGTCACAGTTATTGATTCGAAAATTAACTTAAAAGCTTGAGCAATCCTTTTTAAAAATTAAATGGTAATTTTGAGAACCTATTGGAGTTAGATGTTGAATTTTAGCCTATTATTTTTGGGCTAGTTGATTATAAATTGAAATATGGGCTATAAAATTGAAAAGTGGGGAGCCCAATTATTTTTATGTGAAATTTTCTCTTTATTGTTTCCTTCCTAATTTTTTTAATTATTTGCACTTTGTAGCATCTTATGGAAGCTTTCTGTAGGAAACAGGGGCGGATTTATGCTTACCGAAGCAGTGTCATGCGACACCGCTTCGTCGAAATTTTTTACTAAATATATGTATTTATACTGTACGGAAACAGATAAGTAAACAAAATGACACTACATGACATAAGTTATATCTTGGTGTGTTGGTAATTTGCTTGATTTTTCTTTAAGAGGTCAAAGGTTCAAACCTCAACTAGAACATTTTTCATTTGCAAATATTCAGGACCTTTTGTAACTTAAGACTCAACAAATTCAATAGACTAAGATTATTTCTTGTCTAAAAGTACGATAATCAAAATTATATTACATTTTTTCTTTTATAAATTTCGACACCGCTTACAAAAATTTCTGCGTACGCCCCTGGTAGGAAATAAGATATAGATTGTTCCGGCTAAGATTTTGAAGAAAAAAGTTGTAAAGAATTAAAATATGTAAATATGGTGGAAGTAATTTTGGAAACTAACTCAATAGAAATTGTAGTTACTGATTTGACGATATTCTCATCACTATACAATATGTGCTATTTATACAAGATCGATTATTTATCATGCTTGTAGCCTATTTGGCCAAGTTTTTTTTTAGCCAAAAATATTTTTTTTTCCAGAGTTAAGGTATTTGGCTAAGCTTTGGAAAGGGAAAAAAATACCTTTAAGTAGGAGCAGAAGTAATTTTAAAAAAGTAGAAAAAAACTTCTTTCCAAAAGTATTTTTTTTTTTTTGAAAAAGCACTTAAAATTACTTTTTAAAAGCTTCGTCAAACCTAATTGCTACTCAAATACACTTTTCGAATTAATTAGCCAAACACAAACTGCTTCTCACCCAAAGTATTTTTTTTAAAAGCATTTAAAAAAAATCAAAATAAATTGATTTTAGGAGTTTGGCCAAACATGCTATTAATCTACTAGTTGAACATCATAACTCAAGTGCACATATAGCCATTCTCAGGGATGTTATTTAGAAATTAGTCAATACTTATTTTGATTTAAATATTTAAACTAAAAATCTTAACTTTAGGACATTTTTGTCCCAAAAGATTAAACTAAAAAACTGAAATTCAGAATACACTGTCTAATTTTTAAATAGTAGCCTTCAGAGTAGCTACCTGGTGTCATTTCTACCCATGTTTAAGATTCGAACATGACCCAATCGAGATGGTGTTGCGGTCTGGCACTCAATTGACCTCTTTGCACTTATATGTCAAAATAGCACGGTATAGCCAGTTTTCGGACTGGTCAATCAAATAGCCACCGTTTACGAAGTCAATGAAAAATAACCACTATTTTGCTGCAACAGAGACCGGTCCCGTATAATATACGGGAGTTCAGTGCATCTTTGTACGAACTCCAGCATATTATGCTGGACCGGTATGCTTTGCTGACTCCTGTATAATATACGGGAGACTGGAGCACCGGTGCTCCAAACTCCAGTTTATTATACTGGACATTTATACTTGTTGAAACTCCCGTATATTATGCTGGAGTTCTAGTGTACTTATGCTAGAACTCCAACATATTATGATGAAGTTCCAACATAGTTATCATGAAACTCCCGTGTAATATGTTGGAGTTCAAGCATACTTATGCTGGAACTCCACTATAATATACGGGCGTATTCTGGGTTTTGAACAGTGTTTTCGCTCAGATTTATCTTTACATGAAAAGTGGTTAAATTTCGATTACTTTTGAAACTGTGACTACTTTTGAATGACCAGTTGTAAATCTGGCTATTTTTAAATTTCTCCCGCTCTTATATCGATCGTATTCGCAGTGGAACTAATTTTATCGCTACAGCATTTTGGTTTTGGGTTATACCTTCCTGCAACATAATAGACCGTTTTAATAAGGGATATTCATTCAAATAGCCGTCCGAATTCACTATTTACATACACTAATTAGAAATGGTTATATACATATTATATATGATTTATATGTATATTATATCTTCGTCAGCTATTTTTAATTTAACTGATTGGATAGACGGCTATTTAGGTTAACCTTTGAGGAAACTCTAGTCAATTATTCTGTCTTTGGGGTAAAACCTACTAGCATAACTACACTTGGCCCAAGTGCACAAATAGCCGTGTTTAGGATCACTATTTAAAGAATAGTCAACATTTACTAAATATTTAAATTTTTAGTTGCCTCAAAATCAAAATTCAGACTCGTCATTGGTCGTCTATTGATGCAGGGTTTTACCTGCTAGTTGTACTATATCAGTCATCTATTTCGTATTTCGTATTTCGTATTCTATATTTCATATCTCTTATATTGCTGTTATTTATTATGCATTTTTATGGTACTAATATATCGGCTCTTGTTGTTTTTTTTGAGTCGATGGTCTCCTGGAAACAATCTCTCTACCCTTCGAGGCAAGGGTAAGGTCTGCGTACATATTACCCTCCCCAGACTCCACTTGTGGGATTATACTGGGTCGTTGTTGTTGTAGACTCGTCGTGTCTGTAGTTTGTCAAATATGGCTAGACGTTAAATAGCTGGCTAAATAGTTTAATTAGGCGAGGTCAAACCCAACATTCTGGGCCCAAAGTCCATTCCTAGGGCTTTAATCACCACTCTCCATATAAACATCATTTCCGCAGCAGCACAAACACCAGTGAATTCAGCTCCTCTTCATCGCATTCATCAGCAGCGGCGGCGGCGGGCGGCGGCGGGCGGCGAAGATGGTGAAGTTTCTAAAACCAAACAAAGCCGTAATCATTCTCCAAGGCAAATACGCCGGGCGAAAAGCAGTAATCATTCGTGCATTCGATGAAGGAACAAGAGATCGACCATACGGCCATTGTTTAGTTGCAGGTATAAGCAAATACCCGAAAAAAGTGATCCGAAAAGATTCAGCCAAAAAACAAGCGAAGAAATCACGAGTTAAGGCTTTTATTAAGCTCGTTAATTACAATCACATTATGCCGACTCGTTATACACTTGATGTGGATCTGAAGGATGTTGTTAATGTCGATGTTCTTCAGTCTCGTGATAAGAAGGTTACTGCTGCTAAAGAGGCGAAAGCTCGGCTTGAGGAACGATTCAAAACTGGGAAAAATCGTTGGTTTTTTACTAAGCTTAGGTTCTGATCTCTTAATTTTTGCTTTAAAATTGAGGTTTTGTCTCTGTTATTGAAGAGATCAATGGGCGATACTGTTATTAATATTATCAAATAGTAGTAGTTAATGCGAGTCTGTTTTGTCTTTGAACAATTTCTTAAAATGAAGAATATCCAGATTTGCTTTACATTTCTTCATTAATTTTCTTGCAATTTGATAACTGATTATTAGTTGGATTAGTTTTCATTTTTCTTTTGGATAACCAGTGGTTTCCCGGCACTAATTTCATGTTTTAATTTTCATTTTTATGGAGTGTAACAGCTTGTTTGGATGGTTGTTACCATTGTATTGTATCGTATTGTTACTTTAAATACGACTAAATGTGCCACTTTATGTAACGATCTATTGTCTTTTTCTCTCAATCTCACCCTTCGTTATTATCAAATAGTTTTATTTTATCTTTTACGTTACTTTTTTATACAATAATTTTACCTTGTATCATAATTTTTCTTTATAATATTACAAATTTATTCTTCGTATTGCTGGTGCGTGATATGATGAAATGACGATAAAACGACGAGACACAATCTATTCAAATATTATACTTATCAAGCGATACAATACAATACCGTACGATATGATACATTATGAAACGATATGTATAATAACCATCCTAACAAGCTGGAAGGTGTATTTTCTAGTAATTTGATTAGTGATTGTTAATTGGAAGTCTGTATTTCCATCTTTTGGATTGTAAATTGTATGTTTGTGCAGTGTTATTGAACACTATGGCTTCAACCAATAACACAAAGTAAAAGGAGTTGTATTAATATTCAGAAAATAGTCATTTTAATTGCAGTTTTATTATAATAGTAGTACTAAATATTAGATAAAAATTGCTCTGTAATTTTGGCTTGTGATTGTGATGTACCAAGATCTAATTTTAGGATTAAAGCTTGCAGTTCATTGTCATTAACCAACTGGCTTAATGTAGTTTTAGTACCTCACCGAATCAATTTTTAGGTTTATTTTAAAAAAATTGTAGGTTTTTATATAAATCTATAATTGTATCGATAATTAGAGTAGTTTTTTTATTTTATAAAAATAATCGAAAATATAACGAACCGTACCGAATAAATACATAGGAAAATATATTTATATAGTTAGTTTAAAAAAAAAAAGATATTAAATTTTTTTTCTTTGGACCTTGGAATTATGAAAACGGTTACAAACCAACAAGTAATTAAACTCAAAATACTAATTCCTAAAACATATTATGTTATTTCTACCCAAAATCTGAAACTAAAGTATTTCCAACATCTTCACTAGCGGGACACATAGTATTCTAGTTATTATGAGTAGCAAACTACAATATATTGAATATGTTTACTTTCATATAATTTGAATTTATCTTTTTAAATATTTAATCTTCTATAGACTTTATTCTTGAGTCCCAACTTGGTTAATATCTTTCCACTTATGTGATTTTTTTTCTTTGCTTGGTTTCTTTTATATTGCTAAAGAATAGTTGATGAATTTATACCCTGACCATCTTTCATGTTTTTTAATTCATCACCCTTTAAACAATAAAAATATCTAGAGAGCTACTGGCATTCTACTTCTACTTGTGTCTTTTACATGACATTTAAAAAAATATCGAAAATTAACCGAATTGTACCGTACCGATATCGAAGAGAAACCAATATGATTGAGACGGTTTCGAAAAGTCTAATTTTAGTTATACATAATAAAATAACCGAAAAATTAATATGCTATAAATTTTATAAAATGACCGGCCGAATCGAACTACTGACACCCCTATAGACCTCTTTCTTACTACTGAGATTACGGGGGTGATAGCAAAGATTACTGCAAGAAGCTGCTGACGTTTCTATAGTGACAAACTACTATATTTTGGCCCCAAAAATTTAGATGATATTAATTATGGCATATAATTTTTTTTTAATCAAAATGTACGCAAATATTTTAAATCAAAACTCGTTCACTGAAGCTATCTTTTGCAAATTTACGGAATAATCTTATGGGTGCACTATTAGAAATGTAAATCAATGATATAAATTTTATGGGTTCAACCTTTAATTTTTATAAAATTATTTTTTTATATTAATTTTTTTTACAGCTATATTTATATTCTATGTCGAAAATGTTAAAATCAGTTGAGCTCATTGACTATATGCTACATCACCCACTGTTACCACTTTTAATGTACAAATTTTATTTAATTATACAAGATTTTATGATGACAATAGAATGATTGAAATTATAATGTGTGAAAATTTTGAAAAAATAAATAATAAAAAAATTAATTAGTACGCAAAAAGTGACACCAGACATGTTCATCCCTGTTGGGTGCCTTGTTCTAAAAAAAAGGAGAAAAACAACAAGATTGACATACGATTTAAACTCACAATCTCATTTAGAGAGATGCACAAAAATACATTTAAGTATTTTTTTTTTAAAAAAATATAGCATTACTATACATGATCTAGGGAGGAGAGCATGAGTTCACGTGCCCCGTGGAACCTCCCTAGATGCGCCCCTGGTTACACATACAAATATTTATGACTTACTTTAGAGCATAAGTTTGAAAAAAAAAAAGTTCTTTTTTTTTCTTACTCCATCCATCCTAATTTATGTGACGATATTCAAATTTCATGAGTCAAACGAATTATTCTTTAATAGTAATTTTTTATATGCCTTTAAAATATTTTAAATTATTAATTATTGTGACTTATAGTGCTTTTTACATAGTTTTTAAATATATAAATTTTATTTCAAAAGACTTAACGATTCTATGTCCAAATGCACAACCAAAATTAGCAAATTTAAATCTCGAAAAAATATTTTTTTTACATAAATTAGAACAGAGAGAATATTAAACTCCGTGACTGGTCAAATAATATTACATAAATTAAGAGGTAAGGAGTAGTATTATTTTAGAAATTGTTATTTTTCCCAAAAAATTTGCTACATACTTTTTCTAAATTTGAAATTATGTGGAAGTATCATTTTCAAAACTTTGAAATTAGGGTAAACATTCTAATCCGATTATACATAATAAAATAATAAAAAAACTAATATAATATAAATTTTATAAAATAATCGGCCGAATCAAACTATTGACGCCTTTATCTCGATATATCATTTTCAAAACTTTGAAATTAGGGTAAATATCCTAATCCGAAGGGCCCGGGTCTTACCTATATGTTTTAAAACCCGATGACCCTAAACTCTATTTTCCCCCTCTTCAGCTCCCAACTATTTTAGCTTCAGCTCTGCTCCACTCCCATTTCTAGAAACTTCCAGCTGACAAATCCGGTTTAATTTCTCAGTCCTCGCCATTTGTGGATACTACAACAAGGTAACAGATCCAAAGTCTCTGTATTTTCACTCGTTTTTACCTTTTGCAGTAGTAGTAATAAGTTTTGGCGCTTTTTCGTGGATTTGAATTTCGAATAGTACTATTTTTGTCTTTTTCTACTGATTTACTTATTAATTACTCTCTCAGTTTCAAAAAAATTATTTGAGGTTTAAGTTGACACAAACTTTAATAAAGAAGAGAATACAACAACAACAACAAACCAGTATAATCCCACTTAGTGGGGTCTGGGTAGGGTAGTGTGTACGCAGACCTTACCCCTACCTTAGGGCAGAGAGACTGTTTCCAAATAGACCCCGGCATCCTTCCCTCCAAGAACTTCCCACCTTGCTCTTGGGGAGACTCGAACTCACAACCTCTCGGTTGGAAGTGGGGGTTGCTTACCATCAGAGCAACCCCTCTTGTCATTAAATAAAGAAGAGAATAATTTTGAGATATATGGTTTTAAATAAACCATAACATTTGTGTGACTGTGAACTTTTAAACTTGTGGTTTGAAACCTACTATAGTAGTGTGTGGCTATAAATGCTTTCTATTAAGGAAATATTGAAGTGTGCTAATCTTTTTGGAACAGATTAATAAAGAAATAGTGTTAATCTTTGTTAAACAGAGGGAGTAGTACTAAAGCATTGTGTCTTATTTTGATTGAAAAGTATACCAAACCTGACTGTTTTTTTTGGGGCTTCTTTTGATATGTTCAACTGATTATTTGTTATGTTACTAACAGTATTACTTCCTTACAATTGTGAGCTTTTAAATGATAGTTAAATCTCTTTATAACAACCATCCTTTATAACAGTATTTCACTATAACAGCCAAGTTTTGCTGGAGCTGATTTTTCATGTTATCTTATATTATATATTCTCTATAACAACATTTCACTACAACAACTAAAAATATTGGGACAAACAATGCTATTATAGAGAGGTTTGATTCTATATGGTGGGTGCTTTACCTGTTTTCATTTGACTTGGAGGGGGAGCTACTGTATTAGTTACGGGTACAGTTGAACTGACTAGCTTTTGTTTAGACCCTGTATATTAGAAAAATCCATTAAATATGTATAACTATTTAACTATGAACCTAGTAACTAGACGAGCTATGAGTTTGATGGCTAGTTCAGAACCCATAAACCTTATATCCTGGCTCTGTCTTGGTTGGTGGAGCTACTGTATCATTTACGGGTTCGGATGAACCCAGTAACTTTTGTTTAAACCCTACTTAAAAATTCATTAAATATGTATAACTATTTAATTATGAATCTAGTAAGTAAATGAGCTATGAGTTCTATGGCTAGTTTAGAACCCGTAAACTTTATATCCCGGCTCCACCTCTGTATTGGAGAAGTTCAGGATAGAAGGTAATAAGGACAAAGCTTATACCTGTCATGGCGCTTCTTGTTCTTCAGTGGTTTGTAAAAATGTTGAGTAGTTACTTTATTTGGTGCCTCTAGTACGGAATGAGTGGGTAAAATGTCTAAACTTATGTCTAGTTTAAAGAAGCCGCTAGACTTGGTTCTTGATTTTGAGTGTATGTTGTGATCTCAGCAATTAGATGGGATTGAATGTTAATATAAATTAGAAACTTCTATTTCCTGCTAAATGGAACATAGTATTTCTAACTTCCAAGATATAATGTGAACCATCAATAAAAAGAATTTCTTTTAGACATTTTGGGAGAACTCCGACAAAAGCTGTCCTGTTTTCTAAGGTGTTATCCTGTGTCAGATGTGTTTACTTGTCCTTAGGTAAAGGAAACCATAAACTCAGTGTTGGCTATTCCTATATCTTCTTTTGAAGGAAGCATCCGCATTGACAACATTTATTCACCCGAAGTCATATGATTTTGCCCTGGTAAAAGTCTCTTAAATGAACAAGTGATTAGAGCTTGATGCAGGGAGCAGATAAGTTTATTTAAAAAGATGAAGAGAAAAGACAGTGAAAATTTGATTTGCAAGCTACCCAAGAAAGAGCTTCAAGATTTGTTCTGGAAACATGGTTTATCTCCTTGTAAATCTTGTAATTCTTTGATCACTTATAAATAATTATTTACTTATTTAACTGTCCGACTACAGTACGGTGGTCGGAAATTTCTGTCTACTGCAGTCGGAAAGCTTTTTCCGCCAATTTTCCAACTACCGCAAAACTGTCGGAAGTCGTCGGAAATCACCGATTTTCGACTATTTCCCGGTGGCTTTGGCAGTTGGAAAAGCTCAGTTTTCTGGTAGTCACAGTGGCTGATGTTAAAGGTAGTATTATTTTTGGTGAAAGTGAATATTTGGGTGAGATTGAACACATGATACATGAGGATGACTTAATTTGGAAATCGTATTGTTGATATGATCATCTAGAAAATGGCTGATATAAGTTTCTTGGTTATCGCACGACTTTCATAGATGACCTGGATTGATCACTGAAGGATCAGTTTGTCTTGATGCAGGGTGAGGAGAGGTTATCATTCAGAGAGATGAAGACAAAGGACTGTCCAAATTCCATTTACAGCCTACCCAAGAAAAAGCTTCAAGACTTGTGCAAGAAGTACGGTTTGTCTCCTTATAAGACAAAACCCAATCTCGTGAATTCTTTGATCAATTACTTCAAGGTAAATGTTGGCTTTGGGTTGATGACAGACGATCTTTTGTGGTGAATGAATGTGAAAATTTGGGTGAGATTATACATATGATACGTATGATGAGTTCATTATAAAATTGTATTGTGACGCGATCATCTCGAAAATGCTTGATAAGGTTTATTACATCACGTGCTCATATACACTGGGTTGATCTCTGAAATACAAGTTTGTCTTGATGCAGATAGCAGATGTAGAAACTTCCGAAGGCAATTGGTACAACCTTCAAGATTCTTCTGGCCTATGTGATGAGAAGGGTTTCAATCAAAGAGTTCGCAGTCCACCAATAAGTTTCTCCAAGAATGCATTTACTTCTGACATAAAGTCCAAGCATGTGCCTTCATTTGAGTTTTCTGTCTCATCGGAAGATGGAATCAACCTTTCAGTTGACTTGAATTCATGCCCATCAGACCGTTTTAGAAGATTGGAGAAGGAGGAGTGTGTATGTAACACTATGCAGAATAAAAAATTTCAAAGTTTCCGTCAGGAGATTCAATACCTAAATAATAGACAAATGACAAGTTCATTTCTCTGGGAAACAGATTCAGACCGCAAAACTAACAGTGGCCATGCACAAACTGTTTCGTCCCCAAGTTTGTGTGGCACTGTTGATGTTGTATGTCATACAGAAAATAGAGATGATGCGGCTTTGGGATTTTCAATAACAAAAAAATCATATGATGTAAGTTGTCTCAATTCTGAAAGGCAGAGGACTAGTTCTCCGGAGAAGCTTACGGTGCTAGCTCATCTCTCTTCGGAAACTGATTTTTCTGAGATAGAGGCATCAGAAATTGGCTATCATCATCAACATGTATCATATTCTTCTTCTGAAAAAGATTACCTTAGAAATTTGGTTGATGCAGCAGAGAGCCTAAGAAGTCAACTACCAAATTCTTGTGAGGATAGCTGTAGAATCGACACGCCTTCATCTGCTGATGGAGGGGTAATATCATCTTAGCATAATCTGGTGTATTTTGCTATGATAGCTTCCTAGGTTATTGCTTTGTGCACATAATTGTATGTAGCCTATCATTCCTTTGTTTTGGATTTTCTAGGTAGTGGGATGTCCAACCAGTCTGAAAAATAGTTTCTGCTCTTTGAATGGTTAAGTTGAGGACTGTGTAAATTATGTTCTTTTGTTTTGTGTAGTTTCCTTATTACTCGTATTTGTCAACATGTTGGCGATCTGAGGATACCAGCATTATTCGATGCTAGTTTATTCTGTTTATTTTGTTTTTGTGGACATGTTTCTTACTTGTGAGTTGTGACATGACATTCATTAGTAGGGTTATATCCACTTTGATAAGCTTATTACTGGTCTGATAGTTCATTAAAATGATTATGAATTTTGGAATAGTTTATGCCTCCTAAAGCTCTCCTTGCTCTATTTCGATTTCTCCTCCCTTTCTGCCTCTCTCTCTCTCCCAAAAACAAAAAGTTGTCCTCTGTCAATGTGGAATGCAGGTGCTCTGTCTGTGGGTTCGCATGGGCTACCACCAATCGAACCATTGCGGAGCCTTTTGCTCAGATTAGTGAAATACTCAAATCGAAGATCTTCAACGAGCGTGACACTGGTAGATCTAGAGGTTTTGGCTGCCTTACTTTCAATGACGAGCAATCTATGAGGGACGTGATAGGGAGGACAAATGGCCAGAGCCTTGACCGTAAGTCAATTGTTTGGACGAGGTGGTGGTGGTGGTGGTTCGAGTGAGGGACACCATGAGGGTGGTTGAGGCTCCAGAGGCGAGAGACGCAAAGGTATACACTGGTGCCTTCAGTGGTGGCTGTGACCCCGGAATCTGGATATAACAGCAGCAATTATGGTGATGGCGGATTACATTACTAGCAGTGTTGGTGCCTTAAAAGGGAAAGGAATTAGATAATTGGCATTGAATGTGGGTTTATTGGTTTTGATCAAATTTGTATTAGTTCTACTTTGATGTTTGTGTGACTGTCCTTTTCAACCACCATTGGCTCGACTAAGTGAAAGTTACATATTATACAGCTCTTCCATTACTTGCCTATTTTCTTTTATTTATCCTCTTTTTTCTTTGCATGTAATAAGAAATGATCACTAAGCATGTAGAAATTTGTCTCCATGATTCTCTTATTATAGTTGATATGATTTGTTTCTTTCATGAAAACCTGAAACAAGTTAACATCGTGATCTCTTTCTTTTCACAGGCAAGGGACAGCCATGCCAATGGAATAGTAGCTTCAAAGTAATCACTCTTCCTAAATTAAGATGCTGTGAATTATATCCGATGACAGCAATGAAAATCTGATCTCTCTTATATATCATGGCAGAGAGCTTTTGAAGAAGCATTCATCGCATGGAGGCAAGAAGAGAAAGAGGGATGATTTTAAATTTGATAATGTTCATCATTATAATGATACGAGAATTTTGAGAAGTGCAAAGCGTCTACAAAGTCATCCCAGAAGATCTATGCGGCTTGTCTATAAGGTTTGCATTTGCTGTTGTTGCTTTAAGTGTGCTCATTAAATTGACAAAAGCGAATTAACAAATGAATTGAACCTGGTTCTTGAAATTCAATAATAAGCAGAAACCTTATATTATCTAACATTCTTGACTGGAAGTTGGACTAGGAAAACGGTTAGGAAATTGAGCAGCACTGACTTTCTGTTGTCACCATTTTATGATATGTAAAGATGAGATCCCCTCACACTGATTATCAGTGACTGATATAAAAAGAAAAGAGAGAGATGCCTGCACAAATTAGCCATTTCAATACATGCTGCTCTTTAAGAAAAAACAGCCTTGAAGAGGAACGAGGCGTAGGGTGAGATTGTATTTTATCTTTCTCCTTTGTTTGGAGGAGTACTTTTCTACAGTAGCTAAGTGGGAAAATCCTCCAACTAGTATAAAAAGAGAAAATTCAATTCAGAAGCTTGATTATTTACTCAAGCTTTTATAATAATTACTAGTGTATAAAATTTAGTAGGTGTATATACAAAGCTAATCAAATCCTTAATCAAATCAACCCTAATTAATGTAAAAATTGCACTGTCTTAACAGACAGTGAATGCTGAAAATGGTTGGGGAAAAAAGGATCATCACCGCTCCAGTCTTGATGTTGATTCTGTCGCCATTGCCTATTATAAAATTGATATCCTTGTATGAATCTCATGTCTATAACACCCCTTCAGAGACCTCCACATATGGCATAGTAATATGATCGGTCTTCCACCTCCTTGTATCTCATATTTGTCAACTATATTTCTTCTTCACTGTACCTGATTATCCATGCAAGTGGTTCGAGGAGGGCGACCTTAGAAAAACTAGATTTTAAGACTTGTTAATCTATTAGTATAACATATGGATTTGTCAAATCAGTGAACTAGTTATGCAAGGATAATAACTAGGCCATTACCCGAGGATACTGTCTTATCCTCGTGTGCGCGCACAGTGGCGGGGCCACCTTATAGGAAGGGGTGACACCCCTTCACGGAAAAAATAAACTGTGTAGGTAGGTAAAAAAATAAATTATATATACTATGCATTGACTCTCCTTAATTTCCTGGTATGTTTTATTTTTTATATTTTGACACCCCTTAACTAAAATTCTGAGTCCGCCACTGTGCGTGTGTGCCTGTGTGTATAGTAGATAACATATTTTTAAATTTAACATTTTGTGCAGTGACGGGTGGTGTGGACTGCCTAAGCGTTAGAGATCTGCCTATGCAATATTATACTCTCAGTGCTGGTGTACAACATACATGTCTCTGTAAGTACCAAATCCTGGAATTCAGCTTTGGATAGTTGACGCGGTCAAATAAATATGTTTCTTGTTTCATTCAACAGATGTTGTTGTCTTCCATTTCCTATTTCTGCAACATGTTAATTCAGTTCTAAGTTTCTCTAAACCTTTTCTTGGATGATTACCTAAGAATGGACCTATGTCTTACACTTCAATTCAACAGTTTGTCATGTAGATTCAAGAGTTAATTTGATAAAATCAAGAAATGAACTGAATTTTTTTTCCGTTCTTGCTGTATACTCAGCCAAATTTCGTGAAATCAATTAATGTGGCACTAAAAATCTCTTTTGCTTTCTGACTGTGTGGTATGTATATCAGGCATCATCCGTAGAGCGAATACTTAAAATCATGCACTCGCGCAGTCCATCGTTTCACTTCCTAACTGCTTTGTGACATGCTGCAGGTGGTTCTTCTATTCTGTATTCAAGAGAAGATCAATTAATTGAGGTTAGACCAAGTAGTTTAACACGCTATCTGGTTCTCAATCAACTAGAATTGCAAAAAAATTGAATCTTCTCTCTGTTGTTATGCCTCATTCTTTAAAACTTTGCACGTCTTTGCTGGCTGTTCTACCAGTTTGTGTCACTTGATTTGAACTCTGCAGCTTTAAATAAAGAGAGGGGAATGTACACCTCCAATTTCATTTAGTTATATTTCATACAAGGAATTTACTCCATCGGGGCAGGGGTAAGGTCTGCGTACACACTATCCTCCTCAGACCCCACTAGTGGGATTTTACTTGGTTGTTGTTCTCATACAAGGAATTCATTGAGCTTGATGCTTTATCACAGCCTTTTTCCAACTGTTCACCCTATGCTTGTTATCTTTGGCACAAAGGAAGATGAGTAAATTCACTTCCTTCTCAAAATCATGAGGTCAGGATTACACTTGCATATGTGGCAGGGCAAATTATATTTTATGATGTAGTTCCATTTCCATTATTTAAGTATTTGGATTTTCAAGGGCATATTAAATTGAAGAGAATTCATAAAGATATAGATGGTGTTCTTCAAAATTGGGTGGATGACCATATTAAGAAGGCAGAAATTGGCAATAATCTTGAGAATCAAGATGTTATTGATGCCTTGCTTAATGTGACAAATTTTGATGAGTTCAAGGCCTATGGTTATTCCCAAGAAACTGTCATCAAGGCACAGTAATGATATGTTCTTAAGCTTTTAAATTATCTATACTGTAAAAAAAAAATTTATACTAAAAAAAGGCAGTTGGTGCACAAGGCATCACACGTTCACGCAGGATTCGGAGAAGAGCTACACTCCCAAGGGGTATGACGTAGAAAGTCTACTCTAATGCAAGTATTAATGGCTACTTTTACGGCTCGAACTTGTGACCTATCAAAGACAATTTTTCGTTGCTCTAAGGCAGAATACCCTAATCTTTTTATACAATCAGTAAATTTTAACATGTCATAACATCTTAGTTATCATTTTTACTAGATTATCAATTAATATTTATCAAGAGATTTACTCGTATTTACCTAATAAATGGCCAGATTGTGTGTCCCCGCTGATATGACAAAGACTTAGACATGTACCTAGTAAACATAAATTAATATCAAGACAACAACTTTGTGTATCACATTCACGCTATTAATTAGTTGGATTTTCTTTCAACATTATGATCACATTAAACATGCATGTATATGTTTATCATTGTTTAGATTAAGTTCCCGTTTGGTCATAAATTTTGGCATTATTTTTTCATTTTTTTTTTGAATTATTTGTTTATGAAATATTATTATGTATTGGAATTTCAAAAATTTTCAAGTTCCCAGTTTCTAGTTTTTGGGTAAAAACTATCTCTTCTTCTCACAAAAACTTCAACTTTTCTTCAAATAAATTGCATGTCCAAACACAACTTCAACTTTCAAAAATTATTTTTCAGCACAACTTTAAAAGCTCTTTTTTCAAGTTTCAAGCAAATCTATGTCCAAACGCTAGCTAAATGTCTTTTTAGTTCTAGGATTTAATTACTGTGTAATTCATTTCTCTAATTATTAAAATGTAGGCAATAATTTTTGGATGGAGCTGATACTACTGCTGTGCAATGGACATGGTTAATGTCCTTATTGTTGAACAATCCAAATGTTATGAGACGTGCCCAAGAGGAAATAGATATAGAAGTTGTTAAAGAGAAGTGGATAGAAGAGTCTGATGTTCAAGATTTAGCCTATTTACAAGCTATAATTAAAGAAGCATTGCGTTTATATCCACCTGCACCTTTGTTAGTACCGCATGAAACAGTAAAAGATTGTAAAATACTTGGTTATGATGTTCTAAAAGACACTCGTTTGTTTGTAAATGCATGGAAGATACAACGAGATCTTAGGATTTGATCCGACCCTGAAAAATTCGTGCCGGAAAGATTTTTGACCGATGATCAAGAAAAGATCGAGACAAGAGGGGTTGCTCTAATGGTAATCAACCTTCACTTTCAACCAAGAGGTTGTCAGTTCGAGTCTCTCCAAGAGCAAGGTGGGAAGTTCTTGGAGGGAAGGATGTCGGGTGTCTATTTGGAAACAACCTCTCTACCCCAGGGTAGGTGTAAGGTCTGCATACATATTACCCTCCCCAGACTCCACTAAGTGGGATTATACTGGGTTGTTGTTGTTGTTGTTGATCAAGAAAAGATCGATGAATGTAGTTAGAGTTAGAATTTTGAGTTTATTCCATTTGGTTCAAGAAGGGGATGAATGTTGCCACGATTGTTACACTCCTCACTTTTGTTCGTTTGCTTCAAGGTTTTGATTTTAATACACCATCTAATAACATGCCAGTTGACATGTGAGAAGGCTTAGGCATTAATATGCCTAAGGCAACAACTTTGGAGGAACTTATTACCCCTCGTTTGCCTTCTATGATGTATTGAAATAATTGGAATTCATTCAACTTAATATTTAAACTGTAATATCCTTTAGAAATCATTGTTGAAGGAACATGTGAAATCTTTATTTTGTAAATTAAATTTAGGGGTGAGTCTTTGTTTTTCTTTTTGGATAACAATGGTGTAAATCACATTTAGGGGTGAGTCTTTATTTTTCTTTTCGGATAACAATGGTGTTCGAGCCAACTTGCACACTCCTCCATTATTCCATCGAGTACCTGCTACCTCCTACCAGTATAAATACCGAGTAACTCTAACACGACTTAGGTAGATGGGAAGAAATCATCTAACGTTTTTTGTCTCTACTAGGATTTAAACCTTGATTTTCAAGATTTTCATCTACTTCATTGACCAGTGGATCACACCCATAGGTAAAAGTCTCATGTGGCTTCTTTATGGTACAACACTACACTAAGAATTTAAATTTTCTTTTCATCCCATATGATATTGGTTTGGAACAATTCAACAAAGAAAAGGTGATATTAAATTTGAGAGGGAAACAGTAGTTACCAATACTAGATATCCCTGTCAAAATAGCAACTGCAATTGGGATGCAAGTAGTCCAAAAGAAAGCAATTCATCTTGGGATTTCACAATTACAAGGTGGGATCAGAGGCCATTATTTCAACAGTGTATAGTGCAATTCCAATATTCAATAATCCTCTCTTTCAAATCAAAAGTTTAAAAAGAAGAAGAAAGGAGAAAAAGAAAGAGTGATAACTTAGTTCAGCAATGAAAACCTTAACACATCTAAATGGACAAGCAAGCTTTGACAAATGGACGATAAGTAACAGCCATGGCAGAGAGGGAAGAATCCTGAACAATCACTTATAGTGACTTAATTTTATTTAGCAGCAGATAATACACCAGTTTGTTTCTCGTATACAAACTCTCCAGCAGTAAATGATTGGTCCTCTCCGAATTGGATAGTTCTCCTGGAGAGCACATATCCACAATATTCTACCTCTAATACAGTTGCATCCTTGTTAAGTTCAGTAAAGATGGAGCCTACTCCTTCACCTGGATTAATGAAAGAAGAATTGATAAGAAATCAGGAATACCATTGGGAACTTAAGCCAAAATAGCGTGAATAGGCATTTTATCTACTTAGCCGATAACAGATTATATTCTAAACATATCTAGTAACAAAAAGTAGGAAGAACTTCAGTTAGGTATGACCAACAATAACAACAACAACAACTACCGAGTAAAATCTCACAAAGTGGGGTCTAGGGACAGTAATGTGTACGCAGACCTTACCCCTACCCTGACAGGGCAGAGAGGCTGTTTCCGATAGACCCTCGGCTCAGAAAGACGACAATAAAAACAAGAAAAGATAATTCATTAGTAACTTCAATAGAAACCGTAATAATAACAGACGCATAACAACCAAAAGATAAATGACATGCAATAACAGTAACCAACATCCAAGGCCCGGGGCTAAGAAAAAGAGCAAGGATAGTATGAACTCAAATAAACTGCAAGCCATCTAAGATCAACCCTAATCCAATCCTGCCTCACCCTGGGTATGAAGTAAGGAAAGCTCTACTACCCCCTAACCTACAACCCTAATGTTTGACCTCCAGACCTTCCTATCAAGGGCCATGTCTTCGGAAATCTGCAGCCGTACCATGTCCTGCCTAATCACCTCTCCCCAATACTTCTTAGATCTCCCTCTACCTCTTCTCGTACCCACCACGGCCAACCGCTCACACCTCCTCACCGGAGCATCAAGGCTTCTCCTCCGCACGTGCCCGAACCATCTGAGCCTTGCTTCCCGCATCTTGTCATCCACAGGTGCCATGCCCACCTTTTTCCGAATATCTTCATTCCTAATCTTGTCTATCCTAGTGTGCCCGCATATTCACCTCAGCATCCTCATCTCTGCTACCTTCATCCTCTGGATATGGGAGTTCTTAACTGACCAACACTCTACCCCATACAACATGGCCGGTCTAACTACAACTCTATAAAACTTACCTTTGAGTATCGGTTGCACTTTCTTGTCACACAAGACTCCAGATGCAAGCCTCCATTTCCTCCAGCCCGCTCCTATACGGTGAGTGACGTCCTCGTCGATCTCTCCGTCCTCCTAAATCATCGACCCAAGGTACTTGAAGCTATCTCTCTTGGGGATGACCTGTGATCCAAGCATCACGTCCCTGCCTACTTCCCTCGACTCAGCGCTAAACTTGCACTCCAGGTACTCCCACAGTGTATTCCCACAAGTGGGATCTGGGGAGGATAGAGTGTATGTAGACCATATCCTTTAAAAGGCCGAGAAAAGCTGTTTCCGGACACTTAGGTACGACCGGTTTCAGAAAATCATTGATGCACCAACTCATGTGGTAATTATTACCAAAGCCACTCACTTGAGATTTTCAGTTACACTAACCTCCCAGAAGCAAGAGCAAATGAATTGGGGCGAAAAAACACAACTATTAGACCCGCCAATTTACAGTTTAGCAGATGGTTTTATTATAAATGAAACTCTTGGGCAAGAGCATTGACACCATACAGATGTAGAGGTTGCTTTCATTAGCAAAGGTTGTCTCCAGCATTCTCCAATTGCCCAAACTCAAGAATTTTGCAGTTTCAGAAAAGTTCAAGGCATCCAACTGAAATCATTGCTAGAAATATTCTCTTCAATGGCACTACAAAAATTCATATTGCTTTAATATAATGGCAAAAGGAGAACAAGAAGCAACGAGAAATCCAGACATGCGATATGTGAGAATAAACTACTAGATACATACGAGCAATATGAAACAACATTTGCTACCGACAAAGATACAACATATAAATTGAAATACATCTCTAAACTGATTTTGACACGAAAACAAGTAGTCTCTTACGAGTGCTCTATGGAGAACAGAAGCCTTCACTCACCACATCACAACCTACATTGCACTAGAGATTGCAAAACCAAGCAAGAAGACTTACCATGTGTGACTAACAACAAGTTCTCAGAAGGATACTTATCAGCAAGGGCTTTAACTACCTCCACATATCTAGCTCTTGCACTTTCCAATGTCTCTTGCCACTCTGGCAGCTGTAAGTTCAGAATCAGATGATATCAATGATTAAAGAAACAGCGGATCATGCATATAAACCATGTCATAAATTGAAGCAAGAACTCATATCCTACAGAATACCTTCTTATAAACAGGCTCAACAGTGTGATCTACAGTTCCGGCAGGTAACTCAGCTTCATATTGTGAGATATTGAACTTAAAATCCCCATCCTTGGGAGCTGCATTACTTCTTATGGCTACTAAATTCAGCATTTCACACAAACCATATTCGATGGATACCTGAAATTTGAAAAAAAAAAAAAAGGTCAAATGTTATCTAGAACGAGAGTTAAGAGAACCCATTTGATTTGAATGCTGATATTTCAGCAAAAATGTGTGTTTATCTTTCTGCACCTCTGTCAACACCCTGCCTTCTATAAAGACTCAAGTGAGTCATATCAAGTATGCAACAAGTTTCATGACACAAGCAGCATATTCAGATCTAAGTCCCGGTATAGCTTACGCAACTATATTGATCACAGGCGCACAACCATATTGAAAATTGGTAGTTACTTATATTACACACAGGCATTCTACACTAATGACAATGTGTTGAACAAGCTAGGATTCAGGTTGACTTGGACGTATTGGTAATGCTACATACAAAATGTGGACATCTGAGCTAAGAGGACAGCCGTGATCAGAGCTACTCAAATCACAAAACATCATCCTCAACGAACGAGGATCTGAAAAGACTATGGCAATATGAGTAGTGAACTAAAATGGCAGCCAGGTGCACTAAGCTCCCGCTATGCGCGGGGTCCGGGGAAGGGTCGGACGACAAAAGTCTATTGTATGCAGACTTACCCTGTATTTCTGCAAGATGTTGTTTACACGGTCTGAGCCGGTGATCTCCTAGTCACATGGTAACAACTTTACCAGTTATGCCAAGGCTCCCCTTCAATATGACTAGTGAACTAACTCCTTAAATTACTGTTCACCCTCCACGGAGCCCAACTTCGTTTCTATCCGTCGACACCAAAGTTCAAACCCTCCATTATCCAGCAACCTAGCTTGAAATACAGTGAGTATACCAACCTTCAGCTATTGTCTTTTGGTAAACAGTCATACTTCCATAATCAACAGCCTAAGACACCTTAATTACTACCAACACAATGATTCCCTCCACCTTAAACTTAAAACCATAAATAAGTAAAGGATTTACATGTTATACATGGTGGATTGTACACTATTAGTGACTTTTAACCTGCGATAGCAAGTCAATTATCATTTTTACATGATTATCTATTAATGCTTATAAGACAACAACAACAGCGACCCAGTAAAGTCCCACTAAGTGGGGTCTGGGGAGGGTAGTGTGTACGCACACCTTACCCCTACCCGATAGGGCAGATTAATGCTTATAAGAGATTATCTATAATAATCTAATATAGTTTAAATGCTTTTTACATCCTCAATGCATATAACTTAAACTTATAAACAAATATAATCC